TTAAGCTAAATGTGGTTCAGTGAGAAACATCAATCCATGCTGTAAAAATATATCAACATCAGGGATTAAGTGAAAAATGAGTTGAATTGAAGGAACGATGCACTTTATAAGTGATTTTATTCACATCACAGTAGTTGTTTTGGTCCTGTTAATTAAGTAAAGATAAACTATTCTGAAGAAGTAGGATGTAGCTTGGTGGGTAAAGCACTTTCCTAGCGTGCATGAAGCCTGGGTTCAGTCCCCGCACCATATAAGCTGGGTGTGATGGCATGTGCCAGTAATCACAGCACTGGGGAGGTGGAGGAAGGAAACAGAGGTTGAGCCACTTTAAACTGCTTGAGACTTTCAAAAATACATGTAATTTTTGTTTTTTAGACAGGCTCTCACTTACGTAACCCTGTCTGGCCTGAGTCTCACAGAGCTCTGCTTCCTCTTCCTTCCAAGTGCTGGGATTAAGGCAAGCACTGCTATGCCTGGCATGATTATTTTTTAGTATCCCTTGCTCTCACAAGTACTGATCTGTTGTTTTAACAGTAACCTCATTTAAAGATCTTCATTTCAGTATGAATTATATTTAAGCAAAAATAAATTTTAAGATACCTTCTTAATTCTCCACATTAAACTTCATTTATCCAGATCTCATAGTCCACAAATAATTATAATTATGCCCAGTTGGAAAATGTGATATTTATTTGAAAAAGCATCTACAGTCCATAGCTAGCAGAAACCTAGCTGGTTTACAACCACATGGGTAAGAGCATCTTTGATCCTACAATGAGAGGAAGTGTTCAGCATCATTTTTGCTAAGGCAAAATAACAGTACTTTCTTCTGTTCACTAAACCATGGAAGACCATTTGGAACTTTTTTTTTAGTGTTTAATTTTGTGTGTGTGTGTTTCTCTGTTGTTAGTATGTACATGTGAATGTAGGTGCCTGTGGTGGCCAGAAGAGGGGATGGAATCCCCTGAAGCTGGAATTTCAGGAAGTTGTGAGCCACCCAACATGGGGGCTAGGAACTTAAATTGCTAAAGCAGCAGTTGCTCTTAACTACTGAGCCATCTCTATCACCCCAAATATTTGAACTTTTTAATCCCCATTTTATGAAAGCATCTTTTTTCCCCTGTAAGTGACCATCCACTTGATGCAGTCCTGTATTAACAGTGAAACCCATGTGATATCATGAAGTAATATAAGAGAAAGTACTGAACAAGC